AAAAAAAAAAAAAAAAAAAATTGAAATATTGAAAAGGAAGTAACTTTGGAAACCCTAATTACTTACTTTTTTGTTTTGCTTTGCTTTTCTTGATTTTCTCCAAGATTTTTTTTTTTAAAAAAAACTTTTTGTATTGTCTTTTGGTTCAGTAAATTGTGATGGGATTCAGCAAATATGTTGAAAGATCATTTTTCTTTTTTGAGTGGGAAAAGGAGGTTTTTGGGATTTGCATTATAATCAAGAACCGGTTGCCTTGGTTGGTTATATGGTGTTGGTTAGGACTGAAACGAAGAATATTTATTGGAAAATGCTAAAAGTACATGATATATATACATAGAGATGTACATGACATTCACATGGAGTGGGGTATACTTTATTTTTTTTATTTTTAATAGGTCTCACTCAATATAAGTATTGTGCACACCCAATATTATGTACTTATAGCATTACTCATATTTATTTTGTTAGCAAATTAAGTCCGAAATCAGCATATTAGTCCAGCATATTAATGGTTGTGATATAGCCATATAAAGATATACCGACCTAAAGGCTCTCTACTTGACCGGAAAGTAGTCGGCTCCGCCGGCACGTCGACATATGTCAGATGATGTGCTCAAGTCGACTTTGCCCAAAGTCGACTCTTCCTAAGTGCAGGCTTGAGAAGGCAGATCCCGTAGAGGTCGACCCACAGAGGTCGACTTGATTCAGTCGACTCCCTGGTAGTCGACATCCATTTGAGAATTGGCAAGAGCGTGACCCCCAAGTAGCTAGAACTCGAGTGAACTTACAGATACTTGATGTCGACTCCTCCTACCTCGAGGCGTAAAGCACGCAGTCGACCCCACATACTTGATACATTCCTTAGAAACCCTTGTCCCCTCATGGATAAGAGAGAATCTGGAGATCACTCAGCAAGGAGGGGAGACGAATCGACCAGGGCAATCTGGACCTTTTAGGTCCACCGACTTGGGTATTTCGAGCATCATAGGTAAATTTTTCCTCCTATATAAAGGAGAAGAGGTAGCTCTAAACTCTAACTCTCATTCATTCCATACTCTCCTTTTCTACTGCTGCTCTCTCAGAATGCAGCTTCTCTTCATCTCTTTCACATACTGACTTGAGCGTCGGAGGCTCTATGCCAGAAACATCTCCGGTGTTGAGTTTTTGTAGGTATTCTCGCGAACCGGCGGCGGTTCGAAGGCGATTTAGACAAATCTGAGCTCATTTTCACCGGTTCGCTCTAGATCTGAGAGCAGACCCATCAGGTTAACTGATAAATAAATAAAATTGTACAATTTCATTAAAAAATGTCATACAGTAAAAAAAAATATCATAAATAGAAGTATAATAGAGTATGATATTTAATATTATAAGTATGTATTTTTGTTCATACAATACGACGGGTCAATATTGGCTAATGGTTAGGTCATCTCATATAAAATATATATATATAGTCCAAACTGAAATGTTATGCTCTAACAAACAAAATATATAAAAGTATGATATTTTATAACATAAGCGTAAAGTATTTTAATATATATGTTCAATCGACTCTACTGACAATTAGACTGACTCGTAAAAAAATAATTTGTTATTAAATGCCAACGTTTTTGTACAATTTTATTTTCATTTTATTTTCATTTTTGCATCTTTCTTCCCTATAAAGGGAAAATTTGTTATGATCAGAATCTCATATCTTGGGCCCAACAATGATCTTCCCCACTTTTTCAGAATGATTTTGCACTGACATGTTATTCTGTTTGAACATTCCACCAGTTTCAATGTTGATGCTTTTGTTTCTAGTTTCTCTAGTTATTTTATTAGTATTTATTTTCATCAATTATAGCTTTTAATAAGTGTATTTGTCTAAATTATTTGTTATTCTGTTTGAACATTCCCATTTAAATTCCTGTTTATAAATTTTTCGTTTGAACTGATGGTTGCAATGACAAGCTGTGTGGGAGATGGGGAGGAAATTATTATATTTGTTATGTGTTTGTTATGTATTTTTCTGTATTTGCTATGTGTTTGTATTCTCTGTTATTTGTTATTAGAGTTTTGATTATCTTGAGGGGAGTTAGATTCTTTCGTGTGGAAGTTAGGTAACTTTTGTTTAGCTTGTGTTATCGACTCTAGGTTACCTTGTGTAGACTTCCCCTCACATTCAACTTAGCTAGCTGGTTTATCAACTATTTGTAGTTATTTTTAGTATGTTATAGTGTTTATTAGTAGAAATACCATTTAAAAAAATTAGTCTATTTATTTGAACCGTTCATTTTTTTTTTTCAGTTATTTGAAGATATAAAATCATGGTTTGTTCGACACGGCGCGCATACAAATGTATAAACACAAACTGAAAAAAATATGATATTTTACAAACGCTATATAACATTATATATAATTTAATTTAATTTAATAATATGTATATATGTTAAAAACTATGGATATCCAACGATTGAATTTATCTATCAACAACTTCCGTATAAATACTATAATAGTAACAATAATTTTTTTTATTTAAAAAAAATTCTTAACATTTCAAAGACCAATAAAATAAAATGTAAATGTAATTACTATTATATAAAGAAAAATGTAAAAAAAAAAAATACTGAAAGTGGAACTTTTATTAATGGTATTCTTTTGGGTAAATTCAAGAATTTGTTAAGGTGTGTTACTAAAATAATCTTTTTATTAAATGAAAATTTCGAAGTTTTACAGTTTCTGTGGGACCCACTTCCTAGTTATTGATTCCCTCCACGCAATTTGGGCACCCTAACTAACTGAAGTACAACCATACAAAGGTCAAGTTTGCTAATAACATAAAATGTGGTGCCTTATTCTAATTTTAGAATAATTAAATTGAATCGCTCATTTAAAGCTGGCGAAGAAGAATATATATGTCAGGTTAGACCGACTTAACACAATACCAACTGTATTAGTTTAAAAAACAATACAAGCAGAAGTATTACATTATAAAACAATAAAAATTGATTTATATTAATATACCATAAAATAAATATGTTAATTTAGAAAAGTATATAATATAAGTGTGATCGTAAAATAATACAAAAAATATTTTAAAATTTATGTCTCAACTTCAATAAAGACTGCAGCTGCAGAGACATTGAACATTATAATGATGTTAACAATTAATGTACATTATAATTTAACATAATTATTATACTTAATAAAATTTTAAAATACAAAACCCATATAAATTATATTTTAAATTATTGGATATTTTATAGTTGAAAATAGTTAAAAATAAATAAAATTAAATCAACTTTGTTAATTCTAACAAAGTTAAATAGAAGTATTATTTTAAATAATTAATTTTATTCATTTTTTTATTAGTTGTACCTTTAATTTTTTTTAATTATCATTCTATTACAAGAATACAAATTTCTTTACTTAGCTCTATGATAAATATTTTATTTTAATGCACCCATGTTGTTCACAAAAGTTATATTGACTACAATATAAATTAATTATTTTATCTGATTTTGAGATTTTCACAGAAATGAATATATTTTAAATAAAACAAATAATATTTCATAAAAAATATTTATAGAATTCAAAATTATATTACAAGTTCTTTTACTTTCTTATTAATTTTTTGTAGTTTTATTTCACAATAAGAATTTTTTTTCCTTTTCTTTCATTGTTGCACAATTGAAATTTTTTATCAATCACCCGGCTGTACTAGTTTTATCATATAAGGATTTACTTTTTATTTAAATAGTATGACGGATCTACTTGGCTAGCGGCTAGACTGTCTAACACAAGAACTTGTATTAAAATATTTCAAATATGGTAACAAAATGTGCTGGAAATTAGCCATAATTGTCCTCTTCACCGGCTTTACATGAGTGATTCAATTTGAATTATTCTAAAATTTTGAAAAGGCACCAAATTTTATGTTATTATCAAACTCGACCATTGTATGGTTGTAGTTTTAGTTAGGGTGCTCAGATTGCGTGGAGGGAATCAATGGCTAGGAAGTGGGTCCCACACAAGAACTGTAAAATTTGAAATTTTAATTTAAATTATATGATTTGTTTTTTACGAAAATATGCAAATTTATACCCCAAAAAAAATTTTAATTAATGGTTAGACTAACACAAGAACAAATGTAATTTTAAAGACTTCTATTGCATCTTAGAACCATCACTTATTATTATTATTATTATGATTATTATTATTATTATTATTATTATTATTATTATTATTAATTATTTTTTTTGGATTTATTAATTAATGTTATCTATTTAATTTCACTGAAATGTCCAAATAGAAAATTAGGAATGAAGCTTCCCATAATGTCTCCAGTTAATCATTGGTCACTAAAAGGTTAATCACACAAATGTTGTGATATCAAAAAATCAGCAGATATGTAGGGTGCTGGTTATTATTAATGCTTAAAATATTAAATATCACATATTTTAAAGAATGGCCCAAAAAATATCTACCAAAAGATTAATTAATCAGGAATATTTATTTTCAGAAAAAAAAAAGGCTTTGAAAATTGAAATGTCGTATTTCTAATTAAAAAAAAAATGTAAAACAACATTTTGAAAGCATAAAAATGCACATTTTGTTCAGAATAGTAGTTTAAGCTCATGGATTATGAAGAACAAAAATTTTGCAAGCAACCAAAATTGATTGACTCTTGTTAGGGAACAAGCAGTTTGTTTGTTTGTTTCCCCCGACTTTTTCTTGTGTCTTTGCTCAAACTAAGCATAAACTCTTGTGTGCAAGCAAAGATCAATGAGTCATTAGGGTATCGTCTGACTGGATCGGTTTATAAGCACGAGTTATATATGAAATCTGACCACAAATTCCCAGTTTGTTGCATAGCCTTACATTTCGATTAAAACCTTCACAAATGCGGTTAAACGACCTGTGTTATTACGAGTACAATCTTGAAGGAACTAAACCATTCTTTTATATTTTGAAACCCCATTCTTAGAAACAACAATAATGTTGTACACAGAGCACAATTTTTTTTCATCTCACATCTTCCTCAAGAGGAGAAAAAGCCTCTGATCGACTTTAAACTTGTGCATCTTCAGGGTCTCGCCCTTTAGCATCAGCTGGAGTCCCCCGAACGAAATATATGCCACCCTGTTCACAAACGAAAAACCTCAAACATTCACAAATCAAGTTCAAGTTTGTTAAGCAAAAGATATTAACATAAGAAGGAAAAGGGCTAACTTCAGATTGAGAAGGGGTTTTAACTGAGTTTATCCTGAATTCATGTCTTCAATTATAAGATTTTATTATTCAAGCTTAAAATTACATCATCATATCGTAATTAAGTTCTTGAAGTGAATGGATCACAGTTTTATTACGGTGAATTCACGAGTAAAAAGGGGAAAAACACCCATACACTTTAACTTCATCATCTCCATCAGTCCTTTCTTTAGCTTCAGCCATCTTGTACAAAAGACCATGCATAACATACTCGAACTTGTCTGCAAGCGATTTTTGTTTTCCCTGCAAATTGAAGGCAACAATTATAGTACATTATTATCCTACATCATCAACCAAAAGACAGAAGAAATTTACCTTGTTCAAACATTAGTAACACATGGAGAAAACAGAGTCTATATACTTGAAAGATATAAATTCTAAAGATGCACTGTCCGGGAATTTTTTTGTCCCTTACAAATATGTTTGCTCTACGCTAACATTAATCAATGCGATATGCATAAAGGAAACTAAAAAAATAAAAGCTCGTAAAATGCACTTTTCCCACAACAAAAAATTAGTGTCCCACCAATATGAGAATATCATCTAAGCAAACAATGGAATGAAAGGCGGTAAAATGGAATTTGCACCTCAGGAAAGTAGGCGGCCACAGCCGATCCATCGGGGTTTAGAGTGGAAGAAATCAACATCCTGTATTTCTCCCCAGGAAGCATAGGATACAGCTCAGTATGCACATCTAATTCCAGATAACAATCACCATCTTCACCCTTAGCAATTACTCGAGAAACTGTAAACATTATCACAAAACCATCCTCAAAGTTGGAATTTTTCTTCCCTAATTCATGTAAAAGAACTCTAAAAATAACTATTAACGGAAAAATAAGACTGCCCAACAAAGCTAAACACATAACTTTATGGTACTAACAAAAATTCCCCTTCAACGAGAATAATGACAATAAATTCAAAAGAAAGAAAAAATGCTCTTTGATTTACCTTTATCGTACACCGCTTGGGCATCGAACTTGAGCACCTCGATGATTTCATCAAAATGAAAATCCACCATATTTGAGACCTTAAGCTTCAAGGGATACCCAAAAGGAGAAGAAGAAAAATATAAACAATTAATGGAATTAAAAATTATTTGACGACATATAGGCGCAAAAAAGAGCATAAAGATTCAATTTTTTGCTTACAGTAGGAAGAGTTTTGCAGGTTGGAGGAGCTTCAGCTGGACACGCTGCAGAGGCAAAGGGGCTTTGGCTTAGGTTTTATGCTTTCTTTCTTTCTTTCTCTTTCTTTTTTTTTTATTTTTTATTTTTATTTATTACTACTATTATTCGCGTTCAATTAAGGCCTTGGGATGGGAGAAAATTGTTGAAATTGGGCTGGGCTGGGCTGGGCTGGGCTGGGCTATTTGACAGAAAAGTTTCCCAATTAACTTATTACCGATGAATAAATCCCCTCCCACAATTAGAAAATTCAGAAAAATAAATGGGAAATGCATACGAATCTGTTACGGAATCATTCTGTTGGAGTTTGTAATCGTTAAATCATCATGTAATCATTCGAGTTAGTCGATCTAATAGTTACAAATCCAAACAGAATGATTCCGCAACGGGACTGTAGCATCTCCCAAAACAAATAGAGAAAATTAGGGCATTTATATATATATTTTTTTTAACATTTATAAAGTTCTATGTTTTAATTACAAGTACACTAACTTTCAAATTTCAATGTTTTATGAATGATTGATCTGTGGTATGTCATTTATCTTTGATTTCTCAGATAGAATGTTGTTTTTTTTTTTTTTTGGGTCTACTACTCATTTCTAAATGATTCATTGATTTATAAATTAGAATGTTTTTGGGTTTACTATATGTATGATTTATTGTATTTTTTAATAAATAAACGGGCCGCCGTGTACTATTCCCTCCTCCAGACCGAGTTCAATAGACCCGCTCTTGAAGTTTTACGGGTCATCCTATAGGCTTTGGCCCAATTGAGAATTTGCATATTTGAAATCATACATTAAATTGTTAAAAACAAAACCTAATTTATTTTGGCAAATCTGCAAATATAGTAAATTTTGAAACATTTGTCATAACTATGAAATTTCTAAAAATATATATGAACAAGAAAATTTTATTACAAACTATTTATTCTTTAAATTTACCTTTAATTTTATTTATGATTTATAACAAGTTTATATTTTCTTATTTGGTGGCATGGCTAAAAAATGTCTATTTATATATTAAACATAGCAGTAAACAATGTTTTCATATCCACGGTGGACACATGTTAATATGTCCACCGCTTATTACACATTGGTGATGTATTTTTTTGAACATATTAACACCACCAATGTGTGCATGCTATATAAATTGTGGACATATTCTTCTTCTCTGAGTTGAATTGATGTTTATTCATATATCAAATATAAAATATCAATATTAATAAACTATAATCGAGGGCTATTAATATTAATAAACTATTAATTGAGGGTGGATTGATGTTTTGGTGGTGGTGTTGTTGGAGTCCAACTAGTGTGTGAGAGAGAACATTGATATAATTGAAAATAAAAAATAAAGATAATATATCTATGAATAAAAATAGTTTTAAAATAATGTTATGATGATCCCAAATAATGAATAATTTTGAAGTAGATCCAAACTGTGATTTTTGTTCATTTTTTTTTTTGCTCCAATCTCTTACTTTTGTTTTGAGTCCTTTTTGTGTTGGTTCTATTAGGTTTTATCTATAGCCTACTCGATTTGCTTGGGATAAAAATGCTATGTTATTGCTGTTGTAATCATACTTAGATTATCTAAATCATCATGTAGTAAACGTTGCAGAGTTCATCTCACTGGAACTATTATATTATTACAATTTGAATAAAGTAGAATTGCATCTCAGACGTGATCTTTTTTAGAAAAATAAAAATAAAATAAATATAGCCCTTCTCTAATACAGGATGATTTAATATTTTAAAACAATGTTCCAATTTATATTGGAATGAAAAATACACAACATTCAAATTGATAAAAAATTGACACATAATATAATATAATATAAAATGTACTAGTACAACACCCGTGTATTACACGGGGAACTATTATATTATTACAATTTGAATAAAGTAGAATTCCATCTCAGACGTGATCTTTTTTAGAAAAATAAAAATAAAATAAATATAGCCCTTCTCTAATACAGGATGATTTAATATTTTAAAATCAATGTTCCAATTTATATTGGAATGAAAA